CTGATTGAGCGGGTGACGTGCCGCTGCTCGACTGGCTGCCCCTCGCTGCTGCTGGCACAGACGACCGGTCGCATAGCAGGGGATTGTGCTTGCCATTACAGATCGAGCAGCGCGCCAGGCCCTGGCGGCAGTCAACTGCTCGGTGAGAGGCCGGCTTCAGGCACCAGAAGCACCCCGCTCGGCGCATCAAGCGCTCTCGTCGCTCAGCCGGCGTGAGGTCCCGCGTCTTCCTACACTCTTCCGATGGATGAGGGTACCCACAAAAGACGCAACCATCTTGGACCGCCGTCGGTAGCGCAGTTGCTGAACCGTAAGCCTGTGGAGAGGGCGAGGAGGATGAATCACCACTGGCGTTGGCGCGTCTGGGCCAGTTGTAAAGCGAGCGGCCGTGAGCTTCTAGGAATTTTGAAGCCTGCTCACCCAAATCTTTCAGGTCATAGTCAACGCGCTCGCGTAGATGCGTCTGCAGTTGTTTCGGACATGCTTCCATAAACTGTTCATACACAACTAGGTCTTCTAAATCCTCGCCAGCCAAGCTCACCCAACGGCGCAGGTAGCCCGTCAGCCGCTCCAGATATTGAGGTGGGCTCTCATCCGGCTCGGGTCCGCTCTCTCGGAGCTTACGGCGATAGCCCTCCGCCGTCAAACCGTAGCGCTGTAGCAGGGCTTCCTTTACTTGCTGGTAGTCATTTGCATCACGCTCGCTTAGCCGAGAATACACGTTGAGAGCCCTCCCGGTCAGAAGAGCACTCAAGTTAGTGGCCCATTCCTCTCTGGCCCACCCGCACCGAGCTGCTGTCCTCTCGAACCGCGCCAGGTAGGCGTCCAAATCGTCCTTGCCATCCACGAACGCAGGTAACTTGGGCTTCTTGGCCGACGCCGCCTGTTGTTCTGTTGAACTCGCTCTCTCCGCTCGGATGCGCTCCAGCTCTAGCTCATGCTGTCCCTCTTTTTCTCTCTCTTCTCTGGCCGTAACTTCAAATTGTCTCTCTTTTTCTCTCTCTTGTCTCTCTTTTTCTCTCTCTTCTCTGGCTGCGATTCTCTCCGCTCTTTCGTCCGCCTTCTCCTTCTGTTCAGTGGCATACGCCAAGGCTTCTGATCCACTCAATCCACACCTTTCTGCCAATTGTATATACTCCTCCATCGTGTCCTGTCACGGTCACCAAATGTTCCAGATATTATTCCTTTCTTCAGTCTATTCAATATTCAAAATCACAATATATCACTTCCTGTATTCCATTTTTCATGTCACTCCCAAGTCCCCCTCGAACCCAGATTTTATCCAAAAACAATCACAATATTTGCGGGAGACATTGGACTGCTCGGCACCTCCATGTTGAGGTCATTTTATAATTGCTAGCAGAACACCGCAAATACACAACAGTAATATTGTTGACATTTGGTGTCGAGGCGGACGACCGCGTAGAACGTGCGTGATTTTACCGAACTACTGTTGTAAACTCAGTTTAAATGGTCGAAAATTATTCAGCTGTATTTTATCAGCCCTGAAAGACATATTTTATTTGGATACTATTATAGCTGTTCAGCGTTGTTTTTAAGGAGCTTCATGAGCGTGGTTTTTGTCTTCGGTTTTTCTAAGCATGATCGTTTTGGGGGAATTTCTTTTATATAGGTCGCTCCAGGGGCTTCCGACTTTATGTTGAGCCATAGGGAAGGCTCCGGCGGTGCACTCCGGCCCATATGACGTCACTGCGTTTCCGCTTCTTTCCCGTTTTCTGAGGGCTTTGGTAAATAAATTTCGCAGTTTTTGGTCCAAATCGATTGAATTGTGCGTTTTTCACATTGTCTAAAGATACCAGTGTGTTGTTTTACTTGGTTTCTGCGATAAAGCGTAGCAGTAACTTAAGCACAAAGTGAGTTATTTTGCAGCTGTTTAAGGCAGCTTAACAAGTCTTCTGCGTATATGGCGCGTGTGTGACATGAACCGATTTGAATTTTTCTGCAGAAATATGCATGTTGTCATTTCAATGATTGATGTTGTTTTGAGATTGTGATGCTTTAAAACAGTGGTCGGCAGGTCACTCGGGGTTGTGCCCCCTTTTTAGGCGCCAGGCAGGTCCATTACCCCCACCTACCAGACCCCATTGCTGTCACAACCAAGTTTACTGAAATTCCATACCTTTCTGGAACTCTTTGGGTATTTCTGCATTTCCAATGCATCAAATTTAACCCTCGCCCGTATTGGTGTTTTTCCAGCCGCGAACGTATAAGGGGGGGGGGTCCGTTGGACCCCCCCTTGTCGTTTCGCCCCTGATTGAGCTAGAGCTTCGCGAAAAAAAAAACGAGCGTGTTGCCCGTGACGAGAGGAAGCCGATGATACCTAATTTTAAGGTCCTAGGTCATTGGTTGACCTTGCAGGTCAGGTTAATGACCCAAAAGTCGGGAAAATCGGGACCTGTTCGAACGTCGTAAAGTGTGGCTGCTATGGGGTTTTTCGGGGCGCTGATTACGAATATCATGTTAGTTTTGCTCACAGATGATGTCTTTATGCATTTAGTCCAGGTCGGGTCAGGTCAGGTCAGGTCAACCAGTAGGGGTCCTGCCGGGTATTCCTAGTAGGTGTCAACCGCCTCTGACAGCTTCGTAACATGTTACGAAGGCACCAAAACTACTTCGTAAATGTTCATATGGTTGCTAAATTCGAATTCAGCTCCAAAAACTGGCCTAGAAACATGTAAAACTCGAAAAAGTGAACCGAGGTCACCAAAGGTCAATGACCTGACCTGACCTTCAGGTGACCTTGACCCCCCCCTTAATGCATGGGGGCAACATCATATCACATGTTTGAACGCTTGAAACCACGAAAAGACTGCAAACGCGCGGCTAATGCGAGCCGACATACGCCGAATCGCGATTCCGGCCAAACATGGTCTCGAAAAGTAGGTCACAGGTCAAAGGTCATTGGGGTCAGGGTCATGAAATTTTCAGGGTAGGTGTAAAATTGATTAACGCGAGGGTACTGAAAGTTTCGTCGCGATCGGCCGCTTTTTACGCGAGTTATTCGCGAAAAACCATGGGGGGGGGTCCGTTCGACCCCCCCCCCCCCCTATACGGGCGAGGGTTAAAACATGACACTTCCTCCACAAAGCATTTAGTATATCCCATTTAACCCTCGTACATACATATAGGGGCGGCGGGTGATTTTTCGTTAAAAGCTCACGTAAAAGCCGTTGGATCACGACCAAATTGTACCCTCGAGCCAATCATTTTTTTTCTTAACCCTCGCCCGTATTGGTGTTTTTCCAGCCGCGAACGTATAAGGGGGAGGGGGGTCCGTTGGACCCCCCCCCCCTTGCCGTTTCGCCCCTGATCGAGCTAGAGCTTCGCGGAAAAAACGAGCGTGTTGCCCGTGACGAGAGGAAGCCGATGATACCTAATTTTAAGGTCCTAGGTCATTGGTTGACCTTGCAGGTCAGGTCAATGACCCAAAAGTCGGGAAAATCGGGACCTGTTAGAACGTCGTAAAGTGTGGCTGCTATGGGGTTTTTCGGGGCGCTGATCACGAATATCGTGTTAGTTTTGATCACAGATGATGTCTTTATGCATTTAGTCCAGGTCGGGTCAGGTCAGGTCAGGTCAACCAGTAGGTATCCTGCCGGGTATTCCTAGTAGGTGTCAACCGCCTCTGACAGCTTCGTAACATGTTACGAAGGCACCAAAACTACTTCGTAAATGTTCATATGGTTGCTAAATTCGAATTCAGCTCCAAAAACTGGTCTAGCAACATGTAAAACTCAAAAAAGTGAACCGAGGTCACCAAAGGTCAATGACCTGACCTGAGCTTCAGGTGACCTTGACCCCCCCCCCCCCTAATGCATGGGGGCAACATCATATCACATGTTTGAACGCTTGAAACCACGAAAAGACTGCAAACGCGCGGCTAATGCGAGCCGACATACGCCGAATCGCGATTCCGGCCAAACATGGTCTCGAAAAGTAGGTCACAGGTCAAAGGTCATTGGGGTCAGGGTCATGAAATTTTCAGGGTAGGTGTAAAATTGATTAACGCGAGGGTACTGAAAGTTTCGTCGCGATCGGCCGCTTTTTACGCGAGTTATTTGCGAAAAACCATGGGGGGGTCCGTTCGACCCCCCCCCCCCTATACGGGCGAGGGTTAACCTGCCCGGGAATTCCTGAGGCCAGTTTTACCAACAGAAAAATAGCCGCCTGCCGGAGTTTTTGCCTAAAAACCGCTTCACATACGCGCGATGAGCATGTAAGTGGATAGGGTTTTACCGCTTACGTTTACGTTTACGTAATCATTGGCTTCACATACGGAGCGTAAGCGCGATGAGCATGTAAGTGGATAGGGCTTTACCGTTTACGCTCCGTATGTGAAGCGGTCTTAAGGCGAAAAATTCCGGCAGGCAGCTATTTTTCTGTCGGTAAAACTGGCCTATGGACCCATAATGATCATTGGCTTATGAGCTTTTTCTGGAGGTCATCTTGAGCCATAAAATCTCACTTCAAGAAGTTATAGCGGGTCCCGATTTTCTCGACACTTGTCTATGACCTCCGGAATGAGACGAAATGACCAAGGACCTTAAAAATGGGCAGCAACGGCTTCCTATAGTCACGGGTAATACGCTCGTTTTTTTATGCACAGCTCATCTCAGAGTCCGAGAGGCCGCGGGGGTCCGATCGACTCCTCCCCACAGCCGGTACCGGCTGTGGAAGCGCCAACAGACGGGCGACGGTTAAAAATGCAGCTGCTTTTATACGACTGTACGGAACCGCGGTGGGATGGTGATTGGTGAGGCGAGCAGCTACGTGAAAATTGGTATCTTATCAATGTGTGCTGTGCCTTTGACCTGGGCTAATCTTTGAACTCTGGGATGCAACAGTCACGATGGTTCCATCAATGGAGCCCCTATCTCTAAAAAGATAGGTTTTTTTCAGAATCCCTCATTACCCCCACCGAAAGGGTTTCATTACCCCCAAAGGGGGCATGCCCCACCATTTGCCGACCCCTGCTTTAAAATGTAAGATTTTATTTTAGATAACTGAATCAAGATGCCAGCCTGTGCTGTAGCTACATGTAAGGTCTGGAGTGGAGGTTGGTCGAACAAGAAAACTGAAGCCTCATTTTTTAGATTTCCAAAGAATCCCGAAGTCCAGGCTGCGTGGGTGCATAGGTGTTACCGCCAAGATCAATTCAATGTAAAAAAACGCTGTTGTGTGCTCTGAACACTTTGTTGAGACTGACTATGATCCATCATATCTAGTCAAGAGAACTCTGATGCCAAATGTGAAGCCTTCACTGAAACCAGATGCCATCTCTTCAAGGAACCTACCCTCAGCCTCATCACTGTCAAGGTGTGTTTTTATTAAATGTTAAAACTCATGTTGCCCATGATAAGGTAGTTTGAGTATAAGCTTTTATGAATATGGTTGTACGTCAGGTTTTTTTCTTTGTGTTCTTTTGTCGTTAGAATAAGATGCATGCCGTGCCTGCAGTTGGGATTGTTTCCACCACTGAGGCACATAGGCTCATTACAGCCTGTTGATATCATATCACATGCCCCTCCCACTTTCTTAATTTCCTTGACATCATTCCTGGTTCACCGTCAATTTCATAATTTTGTAAGTTTCAACTTTCACAGTAGGTAGCTACCTCATGGGTGCTCAAGAACAGGGCCCAGTTGTTGTGGTTCATCTGTACTGAAGGATCAGTCTGCAAATTATGGCAGGGAGCTTGACACTGTTCTGGGCTAAAAGCACAAAATCGCACCCAATGTGCACTGATCTCCTCTGCCCGGACCCTGCAGAGATACTCAAGCTTCCTACTTCTTTTCCCATTTTTCTGCCTCAGATCTTCTCCCTTTTGCCCTGACATCCCTGAATTCTGAAACCTGCCCTGTTCTGATGTCTGCATTATTCAGATCTTGTTTAAATCTGCCACATTTTGCTGTCAGGCTAAAGGTGTTTCATTTTTATTGTAATCCAAAATAAATGTTCTATCTCTGTTTGTTTAGGCCAGGAGATGACACCAGGGGAGGCCGACTCGAGCAGAGGAAGGAGAGGGTGGTGGTGAAACAGCTTCTTGAACAAGGGCCTGGACAGATGGAGATCAGTGGCAGCGACAGCAGGTAATACTACCTATGTCCTATGTTTCATCAAATTTAAATCTTTATATCAGACTCATGAACATTTTTATATAATCGGTGTTTAAAGTTGACCTTTTTCCTCAAAGTAAAATATTTAATTGATCTAATCTTGTGTTGTGTTGTGTTATTTAATTGATCTAATAATAATTAATCTAATCTCCACCCCTGGTACGGGGACCCGCAGTTGCTACTGTACACGAACCCCAACTCTAGCCGTCTGTCCTGCCCAGTAACAACCGATAACATTGATATCGACTGCTGGTCCCTGTACAAGAGCAGCTGAAGTTTTCTGTGCGTGCCCTCTGACAGCTTATCGTTGTTCCCTGTGAGGGTGCTGGGACAATTTACTCAGGGTCCCTGTACAGTAGCAACTGCGGGTCCCCGTACCTATTTTATCGAAGCGAAAGAGGTCGGATTAACTTGGGACTCATTGCCAGATTATACGAACTCAAACAGCTGGTACCTACCATCAAAGAGAGACTGTATGTATACCATACAGTGTATAGTCAGTTTATGGTATCTTGGGGTCGCACATTTTATAGATAGTACCCGCCGAACATGTATATTTTTAGGATGTATATTTTACTACATTTGCACTCTCTTTATTGTCGCTTTCACCTTTACTCTTATAAGTACTGTTATTTTTAGATATGCTTGCATGTTTACACACACTTATATCATCGAGCTCTGATGTAGTATTTATTTTAGCGTGAGCTACAGTGTTTTAACTACTGACTTCGCCTCTAAGTGGATTATGTCTGTCGGCGATACAGTGAATAAACAATAAACAATGTTTGTCTCCTACCCAGCGATACGTAAGAAACTCGTCCTCACGGTAGTGAGAAACCAGATCGGCCATATACTCTGAATCAATCGTAATTGATGCATTGTCTCGTTTCAGCTTCGCGATCCAGCCGACGAGGAGGCTGCCGAGCAGCACGAGCAATGGGAGGCCGCCTACCAGTCGGCGATGGGCCAGCCGCCTCTGCCACCCGCCCCTCCTGCTCACGAGGACAACAGTCCGGACACAGAAGAGGCCGGGCCATCCAATACTCGACCGCGGACCGCTGAACTCGGCGTCAACCGCGAGGCGCTCGCGTTCGTGGCCGGCTATGTGGCATTCAAATGCCGGCAGATCCGCGGCGACCTCGGCCAACCGACCTCGTCTTCTCTGGCGCCAGCGTCCGTACCGAGCCGCTGGCTGGAGACAATCAGCCGCGGCAGCCTCTACGTCCCCAGCCAGTGGTGGATGGGCGTGGTGGAAGATTTCAACGACACGTTCAGTGACGTGATGGGGCCGACCGCGGTCAAGACGCCTGGCATCGTGAAGCGCCTGACAGGTTGCGTGCTCGCCCGAGCTCCAGGGCTGGACGAGCGAATCGCCAGGAAGCTGGCAAGCACGCGGCTGCACCTGCGACTCCGCTGGCTCAACACCGCTCGAGCAGCAGCTGAAGCGGAAAAGTACCAGCTGAGGAAGCTAGCCCAACACGCGAAGAGCAAGCGGTAGTCGGTGCGCTCACCTCCTACGCAGACGAGGCCGTCGGTCGGCACGTTGCCTTCGGACATTATAGGATGTGCAATGTGCATACTTCTGTTTGGACAGGGCGGCGGCGCCTGGCCGCCTGCCAACCTGTGACCCCGCCAGTTGGCCGGCTGACATTGGCCGGATGGGGCCGGTCGGTGCGCTCCTCGTGTGTGCGGCCGGTGTGGTGGCGCGACGGGTGATGGGCGAGTGTTGAATGATTGAGTCGCGTGACTCGGAGCCGGTCGGGGTGAGTGACTCTGAGACGGTGGGGTGGTTGCTGCGGTCGCTGTCTCGCCCCGCCGTGCCGAGCAGCGGCACGCCGAGGACGAGAGTTCCAGCCGAGTGATATCGGAGTCAGCCGCGGCCGTGCGCTGCTTCAACAGCCTACCTTGTTCGACATCTGGTACTGGCTCCGGTGGGGGGTCGTAAGTGTAACGGTGGCAGGACCTCTAGTGACAGTCACTCAGCTGATGACTCTGCTCACCTAGATGTTTCTCGGATCAGCGAGGGCATGAACTCAAGTGCGACCGTCTCTGGAGGTTCAGTGAACCGCCGACAGACGGGGCTGGACAGACCTCGCTGCTGGACTGTGCGCGGGAGTCGGTGGTCCAGCTGGTGTACCTGTCTCCACCGTTGCGGAAGGAGGGTGTACACAGTAGCGGTGGAGGCGGCGCTGGAGGTTCAGTCAGCGGTGCCGACCGGGTAGCTGGGCAGGCGACTACCGAGAGAGATGCCCGGTCCTGTCGGCCTCTCCGCCGGACGGACGGCACACGGGCGGGAGATCTACTGGACGAGTTCGGCTGAGTCCGCCCCTGCCGGTGCCACGCCACAGGGCGGCTAACCCGCGGCGGGTCTAGTGAACTGGGGAGGAGGGGGAGTGGCAGCGAGTCGCAGAGGGAAGGGGCGATGGTGGTGACACCCTGACATTCTAATGTTCAACCTACTGGACGCTCAGTGCCATTGCCAGAGCCAGATAGTACAGGGAACGGGTCGGGCCGGCCCTGATGTCGCCAGGGCCGGAAACCGGTTCAGAAGAGACGGGACGGTGTGTCTGGAGAGGGTTTCTCATCTGGTCAGGTGATGAGCTTGGGAGGTTCGGATGTGACTCGTGTGTCCAGCCAGGTGGACATTACATAGAGATTGTTATTAGAGATGAGTAGTTTCTTACAGATGTTGTCTCTGCTGTGAACACGGTGAACTGTTTCACACTACGGTTTGTGATACTGAAAGCTGTGAAATGCTTTTGATGTTGATTGAGTTTCGTTCTGTTGAAGCAGTTCCTAGTTCTACTTACTATTTGTAATGTGCTATGACCGTCCGTGATGTTTTCCGCGGCCTGATGTGGACGTCATCACGAATGATGCCCGAGGCGGCTGACCGATGTTGTACTTCAATCCTAGTATTCTGATGCCTGTGATCTAGAGGGTACTGTGGTAGGGTACTTCATCCATCGGCGTCACTTTTCGGCACGGTGTTGTGATTGGCCAAACTGGCCGTTTGGTGATCTTGAATTCTTGAGGACACTGACAGTCTAATAGATCACCGTATGGTGACTGCTGTGCTCCCTCAGAGACATCTGGTGACTAGCCACTAAGGTTCCTACCCCTGGGACATGTCACAGAGGACAATCTGCCGACGCTGTTTTCCCTGTTCCACCCACCAGACGACGTCGCGCCGCACATCATCAGGATAGGCAGCTGTGAGCCGTCTCTGGCCACGAACAGCCGGTCTCGGTGGTGTGCGTGTGCCGGCGGCCGGCGCTGTGCGTCGCCTATAACCAGCAGAGGAGTATGCAGATGCACACGGTGTGGCGTGTGCGGCGCACCGAGCCCACCGAGTGGTGGGCGCCCGACGCCGGCGAGCTCACCATGGCCGCCACGCCGCACTCGCTCTCGCGCTGTCGGTCGGATCGTCCCCGGGCTCGGCGCACGGCTCGTAGATCAGGTCCGAGGGAGGCACGCCGCTGCCACGCAGCAGGAACAACAACCGTCTGAACGTCTCCGCGGCGCTGCATAGCCTCTCGGCCGGACCTAGACAACCTGGACAAACATACGCGGATAACGATCCCTGGCTCCCTGCCGACCGACATTAGCCCAGCTCTGCCGTGGATTTTCATAGTGCATTACCTTCCATGATTGTGATTGTCGGGAGTATGTATAAGACAGTTTCGAAATTTTAAACGAATAACATGTGTTCACAAGTCCCTCTAAAGTATCATTGAACGAAAAAATCGATGAAATCGACGTATTTTCCCCGATGTTTTGAATTTTTGAAGATGCTCTTACGCAATAGCCGAATGACGGCCTCGAGCTTCAGAAACTCGGTGACGTCATTTTCGTCAGCTGAGCAAAAGTAAACAAACGCGAAATGCTGTTACCTCCTATATACGGCCTTGGGTCGCTCTGTGTGGCTTATTTATAATTTTTATGCTGATTTCGATCATGGCCATCCTACCAGGCTTTTTGCCACTTACACTCATTAAGAAAGGAAAAAACTAGACTTGCATTGGGACTAGGTGTTTTGAGAGTGAAACATATTCAGCGTTCCCATTTTTGGATGCTTGCTTGTGCTCGTCAACTGTCAGTGTTAAACAGACAGGTGCTTGACATGCCTCCATCCTCGGCGCGGACGGTGGATATAGGTATGGAAGACCTTGTTGAACGTCGCTGAGCGTTGTGAATTACGTAATCCTGCAGAGGGGGGCGTGCCCGCTGCGGGATCGACGGGAATAAGAGCGCAGAAGACCCGGCGAAACATGGGGCGGTCTTGCCGGAAATGTCATCTTATGATTATTGCGTTAACAATAACTTGCGGCATTGGTCGTGATGCTTGTTAATGAAAAGAGCCCGTGAAAGGCGTCGGTGAAATCGTTCCCAATTTTGGGTACGCCGTTCCCATAATAAGGAACGCTTGCAGCGCCGGTGTACGAGAGCGTTCCCAAATTTGGGCTCGCGGCCCGGGTGATGGACTGCTTTAGAAATAGGGGAACGATTTGAAACTACGATGGGCCTTACAATATCAAACTCTTTCCCAACAATATTGAGACAAATATCAGGCGGTTCACGATCGTTTTATATTTTTTGGACGTCATTTAACGGTTCTTTTTCTTGTTTTAAATAATGCCGACATGGCATTCCCATATTTGGTTTTATCGTTCCCAAACATGGGAACGAAAATGCGTTCCCGAAAATGGGTATGCTTGACCATAGTTCCGTCTACTGAGATGACACGAAAATTGAAGTCGCCGAGTGGATTCGAACCACCAATCTCCGTATCACCAGTTAGAAGCTCTAACCAGGGGCGTCGCCACGGATTTTTGAGTGGGGGGGGGGGGGGTCGGCTTTCTAGTCTTCACCCGATGGGTAGGGGTGTTTTTTTTTTTTTGCCACACTTCCCAGTTTTGTGCGTGCGTATGTGTGTGTGTGTGCGCGTGTAACAAATCGGCGCGCAGCGCCGTGAAATTTGGTATAACCTATTAGGTAAGTATACCTACCTACATCACTTGTGTAAAAATTATCACTGGTCACTTAAGGCCAGGTCGCCATGTCAAGTTCAGTTATACGGTATATACCTCTATCAAACTTTCCCCTCTCGCCATTCTTGTAGCTTTTCTCCCATAACTTCGAAATTTGGTACACTGTAGGTATACCTAATGTATGGGGTTATACGTGTCAGCAATTCATGATTCTGAGGATTTACATCTATGATCTGGAGGCAGGTCAAATACGTGACCTCATCATTAGAAAATAATGAGAAATTGGAAAAAGCACGAATGCCTCCTGCTTTGAAAAGTTCGTCAGAAACGCAAAATATCTTTGGAGCCATGACAAATCAGCTCATCATTGCCAGGGACAGGGTGCAACTTATGGCGAGTGATGACTCGAAAGGTCATTAGTGGAAATGTCCATCGATGGCCACCAGCATTTTTTTCTACAACCTTTGACGAAGACGCGGTAGAGCGATGACAGCACCTGGAAGGTGTTCACTGTTCAGCTCAACAACACGGATCCATTCATATGCAGCAGGAGGAAAAAGGATCCTTTTTCGATCAGGACATAACGTTGACCTGAGGTCGTTTTAACGTTAATTCTGAATGGTCAAATTTTAACTTATGTGACGCGTCTCAAAGAGATAAACACGGTGGTGACAAGACAACATATGTAAATATCATACAAATTCACGGAATCTAAAGTTATTGCAAAGCAAATGTTTCGGTAGAATCTGCCCAGTTAGCTGTTGGCCTTCTATGGGCAAAACATAGACCTGAGATGAAATCTGACGCGAAGCTAGCGAAAGAGCGTTGAAAGAGCTATCGAATATGTTTTCTGCTTCGCTGTAGCCCTTCTATTGGTGGGTTCCCAGTCGCTAACGTATAACGTATATGTAACGCTGAGGTATGCTTTCGACCCCTGATCGATCTAGAGGTTTGCGGAAAAAAGAGCATGCTGCCCGTGACGAGAGAAAGCCGATGATACCCATTTACAAGGTTTCGGGTCATCTCAGGACTCAGGTCATCGCCAATAAGTAGGGAAACTCGGGACCTGCTAGAACTTTGCGAATGTAAGTTGTGATGGTTTTTCGAGGTTCTGATTACGAATGTTATCTTAGTTTTGAACGAAGATGACTCCATGCATTTGGGGTAGATCAGGTCAGGTCAGATCGACCGGTACCTAATAGTGGATGACCACCACCGATTGCTTCCTAACATGTTATACATATGTACCAGTAAAACGCCTTTTGGGCGAAGAACGAGCGAGCGAGATAGTGAGCCCTGCACGTGCGGAAGGGCGAGAGGGTACTTCCAACG